TCATTTATTCTTTCATTATATATATTTCATGTATAATACTATATATATAAAATATATAAAATAGCAGAGATATAAAAAGGTCTTTATTATTTCTTGCTAATCACTTTATTTATCATCTTTTTATTTATAATTATTCTATACACGATAACATTAATATTTTCATTATATAGCATTTTTGTTTCTTTTTCTTTGCTTCTCCTTAAGTGTATGCGTGAACATATAAGTGTATGTCAAAAGTTACAGGTGTGGCATATTGATTGTTCTATATTTACTATTGCACAAGAAGCTTTCTTGGGTTAATCTGCATATAAATTCACCCATAGTCTATTACACATTAATGTTTAATATAATATCATCAACTTATTATAAATTATTTACAACTTATTTCAAATTACATTATAATTTTAGTAAAGTTATATGATATAAATAAATGTCAATAAATTTCTAATAAAATTAATATTCAAATTTTTATAAAATTTATGTTTTGTTTTAGACCTCGTTGGAAGACGCAAGTGCTTTGTTTGATATTAATATTACTAGTACTAGCAATTCTTTTTATAACACGGACTTGGATAGGAATCCTTATTCTAAGTTCTCCAAAAACTGAGACTCTAGACACAGAAACCTTCGATAATGCCAAGATTGCTACGTGGTTACGTCGGGCTTGGATGTACGCCGAGTCGACGAAGGAGAACCAGAATGCGGACAGGAACAATACCATCAGTACGTCACAACAGTACTACACCAACTCCACAAGGTAACATATTTACACCAATGTTCATAATAAATTGTTCTAATAATTTCAGTATATATATTAAAAAAATAATGTCATTATAAATGATGATTATTATGTAATATTGAATTCATACAGGCAGATCATTGTCTGTTATTACACCATATCGTGGTACCTGAACACGCTCTGGGAGCTCCGTCCGTCGCACATTGACCCTAATCTTTGTACGCATATTATCGTGGGTTTTGCGAGCGTGGTGAACTGCACCCTCGATCTGGGTAACAATTCATCAATTTACAAAGATGTTGTTGCCTTGAAAAATGTGCAACCAGAATTAAGGGTCATGATAAGTGTTGGCGGTAGTAATGAGCTCCACTTAGGTTTCTCGGAAATGGTAAAAAATCACACAAATAGGAAAAGGTAATTGCGCAGTGATTTGTATCATATTTAAATGTAGAGTATTTTTATCAAAGTCGACTATTATTATTATTATTTATTACAGATTTATAAAGTCCGTATTAAATGTGACAAAGTCATTTGGTTTTGATGGATTAGATTTAGATTGGGAATTTCCAGCATGGCTTGGAGCTGATGATCGAGAAAAAATTCATTTCACGCAACTTCTACAAGAAATAAGAAGAGAATTTCAAAGAGCCCAAGAAACATTAATTCTTTCTGTTGCTGTGGCAGCTCCTCAAGCTATTGTCGACCAAAGTTATGAAGTTGCAGAAATGGCAAAGTAAATAATTTATAAATTACAATGTTTTTGCTAATACAACGTCTAACATCAATATTTAATAATAATTTCAGATATTTGGATTTTGTAAACCTTATGTCTTATGATTATCATTTTTACGTTTGGTATTACCCAATTACTGGGCTCAATGCACCACTATTTCCACTTTCTACGGAATCTGGATATCTTTCTACTTTAAACGTTAATTTCTCAGCTCACTATTGGCTCGCAAAAGGCATGCCAAAGGAAAAGTTAGTTATTGGTATTCCTACTTATGGTCACACTTATAAACTAGATAATCCATTAAATCATGGCTTATTTGCTCCGACAAGTGGCTTTGGAAAATTGGGTGACATGGGTTTCGTTTCTTATTTTGAAGTTTGTCAGTTCCTTCAAAATGGTGCACAAAGCATTTTTGTAAATGAAAGTAAAGTTCCATATGCTTATAAAGCCAGCGAATGGATATCGTTCGACGACATTGCAAGCGTTTATTATAAGGTATATACATATAAGTTTTTTACATAAAAGGAATTATGTTCTTTTATATGTTCATCTTATTGATTTCTACTCTTTAGTATTATTTGGATTAAGATTTTGTTTGGTTAAGATTTATGAAATCTGAAACTAACGTGGTACCAGATGTTTTAACAATTTTTATTGCACACTTTAATTTTATGATAGTCAGGTACACGAGTCTGAGAGTTTAATGGCACTAGTGTCTCCCTTTAAAGGAAACATTGAAACATCTGGTAAAAGTCAGTTCGACGAACACGTGTATACTTATTTCAAAAAAATAAAATATTGTTTTAATAAAATACGTATTGTTTTCGTTTCAGGCGAAGTGGATTCTTGCGAACAATTTTGGAGGTGCAATGATATTATCTTTAAACGCTGACGACTGGAACTTCACATGTAAATTAAACGAATCTTTTGCTTTAACTCGTACAGTATCAAAAGTTCTCAGGTACCAGGAAGACTAATGCATTTAATGTTACTTAATGGTATTAAAAACCTTTTTTTTATTATAAATTACATTCCGAATAGAAACATTTCATTCTTAATTAATTTTATTCAATATAATTAATTTCTAAATGATTCTTTATAAAACAGTACAAAATTTTTGCAGTACAAAATTAATAATTTAATTTGATCAGTATAGTAATATTATTTTATAAGGAGGCTCATACTTTTCCTTTACTGAAAAGTATTCTTGACAATTATTACTAATGTGTGATTATAGATATACCTGAAAGTACAATTATGATTTTAAGTCGAAGCTATTTAGCCGAATATAATGTATTCTCTTCCTTATTGCAAACATATGTGATTTTTTTTCACATACATAAAATATGTACACAAGGTATTTCAATTTGTTTTCGCCGAAGGGTATCAGGATGTTCTGTAATGAAAAACAAATGAAATATTATATAAACATAAAATCGATAATGCCTGATTACAAAGGCATAATAAAAATATAAAATTTAAAGGGATTGGTTCCTTGTTCATATTTATCGAAGTTGTTCCAATTTCCGCCCTTTTTTTTAATACATAGTTGTCATCGGCAGAAAGTAGTATCTATGAATTTCATACAGATTAAACGTTTTCATATAGTATTAACCAGAAATGACATTATGTTTATATAATATTTTTTTATTATTGTTATCATAGAACATGTTGGTACCGTTTAGCGAAAATAAATTGAAACACCCTGTATAATCATATCATAAAATTACTGGGAAAGAATTTGCACGTTTCCACCTATGTAAGTCGTAAGCAAATTTACTACATAGATACTAAAACCTTGTACATTGTATTTCAATCGTTTATTTAAATTTAATTGTTATTTCGATTTTAATAAATTTTATTTTCGAACATTCTTTATTTTTTAGTTTTAATTTTGTTCCTTTGTTAAAAATATTATATTAGTTAAATTATTAAATCAAATAATTTTCGTGCAGGAAATATTTAAACTTTAAAAAAGTCTGCTTTTCTATGTTAGTTTTCCAGATCAGTTGTTCAGAATGCTAGAAAATTTAGCTTCGAACTGTAATTGTAAAAAACAATGAATTATAGTTTCTTTAAAATGAACTGCACCTTTCTCCAATTTCAATTACATTTAGCTTTCACATGTAACAATACTAACAATTTACAAAAAGAATAGATTGAATTGATACATAAATAAATTCCATTTTTCTAAACAAATTAAAAATTTGTATTGAATAAATAGTGTAATACTAATAATCAATTATATATTTATGATTATTATATAGGACCCGCTCAATTTTAAATAATTGTATATCATAAGTTGAATTTAATCTCTTATAAACAGTATAACATAAATAGTGTCTAACTGTTTACCTATAATGGAATGTTTTATGTATCAACTTAATAATAATTCTTAAACAATTTATCAACTGAAAGATTTCGGTACAACTTTTCTTTCTAATCTTATTTAAATTAAAAGTATAATTTAATTTACTTGTCA